TTGTGCAGCGTGTGCAAATTCTTTAAAAAATGATGTGAAAATAATAGTAAACCTATATTTATTATTAGAACTTAATTTACAACAAATGAAATCAAAATAGACTTTTATTAAATATTTAATCAGAGTAGAAAGACTATAATTTTTAAAGTAAATTTTAACAAGTAAAATATTAACAAATACAACAAAAATTATTTACAGATCACAACAAACTTAAAAATCATGTCAAATAAATAATTTTTTCTTGCAGATTTTATATATAGGTTGTAATAACCATAATAACGAACTGGTAATAGCCATTAACCCCAATGTATGGAAGAGATGATCATACGTGCCTACAATATCTCGAAAAATACCTAGAAAATAACATTATTATTAATGAATTTATAAAGATATAAACTTATTTTTTAATTATTATAAATGTGACTATTCTGTAATATAGAATATTCATTTCTACAATTTTTATGATGATAATATTCAATAAATAATCAAAAGAAATTGCACAACTATACAGAGACAAAGAAAAATTTTAATGTATTAAATATAACGTATATAATATATTAAATATAACCTGGTATATCTTATATATAGGTCTACATACAAATAAGTTCACCCAAAAGTCAGTTAACCAAGATATTTATTTTTCACATAATGAATACTACGAGATATTTATTTTTCACATAATGTTAAAACTGTTTTGAAAATAGCTGCATGCTCTTATTCGCAGATATTTTCTCATTGATTCATAGAGAACTTCAGTCCTGAATCAATGACAATGGAAAACAATAACACGTCTCGGTTAAATGGTCCACCTATACATAGAAATAATATATATATATATATATATATATATATATACATATTACATATTAATAATGTTTACCTGCAAATAATAAATGATTAGTTGCTGGATTTGATGGGATATGGCAATACAACATGTGGGCGATCAGCAAAGTGGGGAACGCTTCCTAAGAGGACATTATGTAAAACTGGTCTGTATTTAGGTGAGGAAAATCCGGAAAATTCTATGTGGCCAGCCTATTGGTCAGATGAAAACTTACAACCAACTACCAGGGTTCAATGGTTTTACTACTCTACTATTGGTAGACCGAACAATAAATAGAATACTATGATTAAAGTAGACAGTTAAACTAATAATCTCTTACTTTTATTTTTGACTTTTTCCGCCCCTATGGGCACTAAGAGAACTTTTTTCCATACCCATTGCGGGTCAGGCCAGGTTTACAATGGTGATGGTCGGATGGTGAAAGTTAGGCCCGCAATACCTGAACAACTAGCCCATGAAAAATTTCCGAAAAGTTGTTTGACAGGATTCGATTCCAGCTTTCTGTAGAAGCGGTAGGCTGACACCTTAAAATGCTTACCCATCTGGCTGTCCTATCTTTAGTTTTCAAATGAGATTATTTAATTTTTTTATGTCTTTGTAGGTTCCGAGTATAAAGAAGAATTTTGATATTTAAGCATTTTATTAAAAAAATTAACGATAAATCATCAACGTTTTCAATAAAAATAATGAGAATTTATTTACACCAGATTCAATGTTTTAAACATTTTTTAAAACACTTTCCGTTCTGCAGGATTTAAGAAAACCTCTTTAGAAAGTCCACTGTGGGTTCGGTCAGGCACATTTGGGTGGCCGAATGATGAGGGACGTGCCCGACATATCCGAATGAACCATCCCGCAAAATTCCTGAGGTTTTTCAACCCGCAAGGATTCGATTCTGGATCCCCAGAGCAGTAGGCTAAGATCCAGCCCTCGTTTTAAATATGTTTTTCTAATGAGGACTAATATTAATTAAACGATCGGATGGCCGAGCGGTCAAGCTGGCGGCTTACCCCTCTGGGGAACCCGGGATCGAACTAAGGGTGATTCGACCGGGTATGTCGGTCCCCGTCCCTCACCACCCGGCTGCCCCTTTGAGGGCCAGGCCGAACCTTTAATGGGCTTTCTAAAAGAGGCCCTCTTAGTGCCCACAGGGCGAAAAGAGCAAAACAAAAAGCATTAAATTAATTAAGCGAGTTTTTGCGATTTTATTAATCACTTGATAGATTAACTTAATAAATATAAGTTGTATAAAAATATTTAAGTTAAATAATTTAATAAGTAATGATAATACTGGTAACAGCTTAGCATTTAATTTAAGGCAAATGCACACGGGCAGCAAAATTAAGGCGACATCGAACGCCGAAGATAGGTTCAATCAATCATTCGTTTTAATTGTCAAGGCCAAAGACAGGTTATTAGTGGCAGCTATGGTTGGAATTTATTACTGCTTAATTTTGCCTCGTGTGCACCCGCTTTTAGAATTTACAAGTTGATTCCAAATCAATTACATCGGCAATTGAATGGAATCCTATCCTTCCCGTATTAGATTTCCAGCATTGTTTTTCGCTTCGCGTTTCCGGTTTCGATTCTGATATTCATTACCAGCCAACTTCATTTTTCGATGGACATGTGAACAGCAGGTAGCATTAGCTTTTGTTGTGTCTTTACTACACTCCTCGAAAGTCAACAAGTGTAGTAAACACAGGACAAAGGCGATATAAATTCCTCAAATATAAAATCGCAACACCACGAAGGAATGCACGTAGCCACATCAAAAAGCCACATCAAAAAGCCACATCAAAATTGCAGGACCGGTAGATGACAGAGATATGCAAATAATTAAGTTTGCATACGCATCGAGTCATGTGGTATCCAGTTTCGGGCTATAAAGACCAGCAACCGGCTCGGGCCGTAAACGATGTCAGCGACGGTTCGCGGCGCCCGAACTTTTGAAGCGTAGAAAATGCCTCAGACGAGAGCTAAATACCACTAGTTAACGGCTGAGGAAGAAGACCGTATCCTGGCGTTGCATAATTTCGGCTTGTCTATGCGCGCAGTTGTCACGCGTATTGGGCACGACGCCAGTACCATCAGCGATGTGAGACACGATGGATGCAGAAACATCTGCGAACACGCCAAAGAGGAGTGGATCGCACTGACCGCAGATTTGCCGAACGGCCCGTCGGGACCCATTAGCCACAGCACGTGTCATCTGAAGCCGCCTGTGCCAAACTATGCATTTATGTCCACTCAAACCATTCGAAACAGGTTGCATGAAGTTGAGCTGCACGTACGATAACCAGCAACCGGGGTACTATTAACCGCTCGACACAGAGCTGCACGCTTGGCGTGGTGTCATCGTCCTCGCAACTGGACTACTGAATGGCATCAGGTATTGTTTACGGATCCCGCTTCTGTCTGAGGAGGAATGACGGCCGTGACGGTATCTCGGGAAACACTATGTATCCGCTCCTTTTCACCGAGCATCACACCGGCCCCACACCGTGCATCGTGTTCAATCAGCGGACAGCCCTGGTACATATTTCCGGTACTTTGACATCAGATGAATACGAATTGTGAAGCCTGTGGATCTGCCATACTGATGCAGGCTGCACCTGACACGGTGTTTCATCAAGACAATACCCGAACGCACATCGCATGGCGAATTTTCACAAGCCTGAACGGAATTCACATCCTTTCCTGGACGGCAAACTCGCCGGATCTCTCTGCCATCGAACACCTTGGGCGCTCGTCCGACGTCAAGTGCACTGGGGAACACCGCCACATACCTAGACTATATGCACAGCAGTGGATGCAGCATGGCAAAATATACCTCAGGCAATCATTAATCGCCTCATATTATCCCTCGCCGTAAAGCGGTCTGGTGGGGGCCATATTCGTTACAGAATAAACAGGTGTCTGTTGCATATCTTTGTTCTTTTAATAATTTTCATACCTCTGTCACCTCTACCTGTCCTGCAATGTGCATGAGTCTATGCGCATTCCTTCGTGGTGTTATGATTTCACTTTTGAACGGTATAGTTATGATAGTTTACAGTCTATCCATCTAGATTCATGCAATTGAAATTCAGGCAATGGAAACAATTACTTGCTTAAATCAGCTTATGTAGATTGCAATGGAGAAAATTTTTATTTCTAACTGTTTATAGAATAATAATCATTTTTAAGGAAGTAAAAGAAATATACACGTCAAACACGTTGTCTAGCAAAGTTTCAAGAACGTGGTTTGAAGTTGTGCGAATTTTGTTAATGATGTTATGATCACGCTTTTAATTTTAATTGTTCCAGATGATCAACGAGTATACTAACAGTAAGATTTAGCTTTACATATCCATGTTTACGTCCTGGAAGAAAATAATGGGACGGTGAAAGTATTAGTTGTAGTCCAGAACAGGAACATATGTTTCGGTCGCAAACCATAAAGAGCGCAACTATATTACATATTGCGACTGAGAAAGATTTGAAGTCTATTGGGGAGAAGTTCATCGGGTAATGGACAACATTTTTTTTCCTTTTTTTTGAAACAAACTAGGAGACTGTACAAGTGCTGCTAAAGGAGTCCTTGTTTTCTATAATGTTGCACATCACAACATTTATAGTTCGATGGATTTCATTCCCTGAACTACAGATTCCGTGTACTGTACATCAGAAATGCTGAAACAAATTTTCCTATTCGAAAATAGCAACTCGTGTCAAATGCTAAAATAAAAACAGAAGCAACAGTGAACACTATGACAGCCCCCATTTACTGGAAATTTTAATAAAATCTGTCGATATTTCAATAGATGCTATTAATCCAGAATATATATGGGGGGAAGAACTTAGTGATTTTACAGGTGGGAAAAGTGTAAAAAATTAAAAAGGGTCACGTTGAACAAAACATATATCTGAAAATTCTGTAAATAATAATATTCATTGTTATTATAAAATTCATTTTTCCAGAACTATTAGTCTGCAGTAAGTAGAAATTCAGTTCCGAATGAAGCGGTTGAGACCTTAGGCGGCGTGCATTTATTGCAACAACATTGAGATGGGAGGGAGGGAATCGATGAATGTTGACACGGGGAGGGGAGGCATCAGAGAGTTTGCGAATACAAAATAATTCATTTATTTTGGAATAGTGTCGTTAATTGACATTTATTGTACAGTACATATCATTGCGTAAATGGGGAAGGGGAGGCAGTGGTGATTTCGAATTGTATACAGGAGGGAGTAGGAGTAAAAAATGAAGCAAAATCCGTCGTCGCAGTATGTGCACGCCACCTTAGAGCTGTAGTCTATGTCAGTAGGAGTAAAAATGTCAAAGGGCACGTAACTCTTCGCGAGATATAACCCTCCCCGAAATCAGCTTGCGATTGGCTGAATTGAACACGCAGTGAGACTCCGATCGCTCCTAGAAGTAATCGATGCAATGGCGTTTCTTGTGTTTTATGCTGTTTTAGCCTCTCTAGTAAAGTGGAAAACAGTTGAATTTTAGCATTGTTTTGAGAAATAGTTCCGGATTTTTTCACTTTTTTAATTTTCTCATTTTTGAAGATCTTCAAAATTCTAGGTAGGCTGATATCGAGGGTTTATATCTCGCAAAGGGTCACACGTACACCATCGATTCCTTGACTTTTTACTCCTATGAGAAAACACTACAACTGAGAAGGCTCCAACCACTTTACCCATGCGTTTGTAACCTGCAGAAACAAATTTAATTTTATATTAAGTGAATTTAATTGTTCCAGTACCAACAGAACAAAATTTAAAAATGAATTATCATATCCTCCCCCAATAAGATTTCCTCATTCATATAATATTTTATAATATTTTTTAGGAACATAATAATTTGACATAAAATTAAGTATACAGTATTTATATTTTGTTCGATGTTGCCATTTGAAGACTGGCTTATTGTCCTTGTGAGTCTTTCGTCTGTCGCCCATTGTCTTTATCTATCGACCTTCAGTTCTAGGAATTTTTCTTGTCTGTACTTTAATTGTCGACCTTTTAATACTAGCAACGAGACTCTTGTAGCATCTTATTAGTTTCATTATTCAGATTTCAAAGTCCCTAAATAGTAAAAGGTTAATTCTGTGATGGTAAGTTTATAAATGAGTTCATAGATTGTACTTTGAAGAACTTTTGTAACTAGATCCTGTTTTGTTGTCTAAATACTCATATATTTGCACATACGTCACACATATATTAAGTTCCGCTAATAAAATTTTCTTAGTAAAATGTGAAATCTTTAATTTTCTATTACTTTTTATCTATATTGTATATTAATTTTACAAAATAAAGGGTGCTTACGTACAAACAAATATAGGAATTTAATATTTTAAATGAAATTTTTAGATTAAATATTAAAATTAAAAGACAGACAGTCAGACACACAGTATATTTCATAAATTTAGAGCTATAGTCGTTATGTTGATCTGTTTATTTTTTACAGATGAAGCATCACACTGAGCAGGGAGGAATGAATTACCTTTTTGATAGTTACTTTGATGGTGGTTGAACAAGCTATATTCAGACAGCGATCTAGAGACAGCCTGTTAAAGTCTTTTGCAACTTTGATTAATATCAAAATAACATGAATTCGTTCCTCTTTGCTCGGCGTCATGCTTCACCCTATAAAAGAATAAACGAAGACCAACGTAACTCCTATGAATCCAGACATTTGGCACAACGTTTATGTACATGCACACAGTAAAAAATCATAGAACTGAATAAATTGACTAGTCTATACTCTATAGCATAATTTACAAATTAAAAATTGTAATATTACCTATCAAATTTGGCAGAGCTAAAGATGTACATCCGAGCGTAAATCCAGAAAATCCCATTGCCATGGCTAGACGTTGAAGTCCTAAATATTCAGTCATTAATACGGGAAATATAATGAGAATGCATCCTGTCAATAAACCGATTAAGATCGATAATATCACTATGATAACGTAACTGGAGAAAATGGGAAAGATTAAGAACAAAATACCCATAGTTAGCAAGTTCACCGTAACAAGGTATTTAGTTTTTATATATCCAAAATCTGATAACCATCCAGTAAACAATCTTCCAAAGAGATCTCCTACAGAGAAAGCTGAGATACAAAACGTAGCATTTGATTCCTCAATGCCACGATCTAAAGAAAAATCCACAAAAACCATAGCAAATGCGATGTAACAGATGAAGAAACTCGTGTAATTCACACAAATGATTAAAAAATAAGGATGCGTGATGACATCTAAGGTTCCTCTTAGACCATCAAAAAAATTTTTGGATTTTGAAGATAATTCTACACTCCTGGAGTCCATTTGTTCTTGAGGTTTCACCAATTGTTCAATTTCCGGGACGTTTCCTATTTTCCTCATAACAGATTTTGGAGGTCTGTAGAGAGATGCAGCAACAAGCCCTTGAAGAATTATGCCTCCGAGAAGAAGAAAACAACCTCTTAAATTATATTCATCCAAAAGATACTCCGTAAATGGTGGAAGAGCTATGGATCCTACAGAAGCTCCTGCGTAAGCGATTCCACTCGCTGTTGCCTTGTGTTTTTTGAAATATTGATTGATGATGACTGGATTTAGAGTGATTACTAATCCATTTCCAAAGCCTAAAAAGATCATTTAAAATAAATGTTAAAAATACAGACTATTTCAAATTTGCATAAAAATATTTGCAATTAATTACAGTTATAACATTGTAAGTTTAATGTTGGATATATATTAATTATACATGTAAAACACGTATATAATTTGTTTTTGCGTTGTATATAGATTTAAATAGAAGATTTGTAAAAGTTTTTCAGGAGTATAGACTCTCACTCATCCTCAGATTTACAACTTATTAAATGAAAGTTGGTAATAGTTCTATAAATGCGTGAAGCGCAAGTAAAAATATTCCAAAAATAAACTAAAATGTATGCATATACTGTATCATTTCTGTTATAAATATATTGAATTATATTTAGAAAATGATAGAACATTATTCGCAATTCGGAAACCCCATTTTATAAATTAGCTTCCCCTCTTCAATTTCATTAACAATAATCTTCATTGTTGTATATGAAATATCCATACAATTAATAGAATTTTGGAAATTATCATCACATATACGAAAGTAATTCCTCCGTAGAGTAGACGACACGTCTACCTTCCAAGCTGACACCTTAACAGCCGATTGCAGAGACAACCGTTTAGAGACCGACGGCGGTTTACAGATAGGGTAGACCGCGGTTCAGAAAATTTTCATTGCAGAGACGGCGTTTCTCGCCTGCCACAATGTAGACAGCGATTAGAAACAAGTTATTTGACCTCTCGACAGCAGGTTTAGAGCAGGCCAGCTCTAAACCTGCAGCAGGCCAGTTCTAGACTCACTCGACAGCAGGTTTAGAGGGCTTTTCAATTCGAGTGGTAGCTTTGTTCGTGCAAAAGTTTAGATAAAAACAGATAACGTTCCTTCGATAAATGTTGTAAACGGTACGAATCGACAAAATTATTCATTAATTAATTGCTCGGAGCAAAAACAACAAAATTAAATACTTTAAATTTGTTTTAAATNGATAGAGGCAGGGTATTGAACGGTGACCAAAGGCAAAATTGGGGCTGATAAGAGGAAACATTGCATTTAATGGTTTCCAGATGATGAGAACAATGTACAGTTAGGGCACAAAGTGTGAGATTCATATAAAAGTTTTCCTAAGAATATTTCCAATCCTCACACAAGAGAAAATGGGTTAGGGGGCGTTGGGTATAACTTTATGGAACAAAGGGGCGGTGGATCAAAAAAGTTTGAGAATCACTGGTCTAAACTCTCGTTCGAACCCATCCCGTGCACTTCTCCCACCCTTGAAATTAGGTGCAGGTGTTAATAAATTAGTCTAGCAACAAAAGAAATTCATTCAGTTTGTTGGAAAATGTCCGAAATGCAAAGTGCTGTCGTTAGAAGATCGTATTAAAGTTATCACAACAGCAATTATCGGCGAAGTTTAATTGTGAGAAACAAAATTTATTTTACCCTAGACCTACAGTATTTTCCTTGGGGATGTAAAATATTGTACACGATACAATTAATCGGCTGATTAATTGTGAGCATTTTCAGCCTGATGTCATCGGCTGAAAATGCGAGTATTGTATTAATCTTTAAAATATTGGTGTTAAATCTGTCTTATAATACCATGACGACTCCTGTAAATCGGGTTATCGGATAAGAATAAAATACAATACCAATATAGCTCTATCGTTGAAAAAATTCGCTTATTTTTCTTAGCCTCGAGTTTTGCTTAGTAGAAATGGCTAAAAAGTGCGCAAAATACGTACGGAAATACGGTATTACAGCACCACCTGTATTGGACGACCACCTGTCTAAAAGACCACTTTTTGAATGAACCGTGGGTGGTCGCCATAGACAGGTTCGAAAATGGAAGGTTGTGGAATCGAAAAAGGAAGTAAAACTGATTTTTGCGTTAATGCGTTTATTGTTTTTTGAATATTTTGCGTGCGAAAATGACTTGGATATTATTTTTATAAAAATATCGTTGAAATAAGGTAGGTTGATACAGAAACTATTTATCTCACATGCACTGTACAGTACATGAGCTTCAAAATAAGTAAATAAAAATAAATTTTATCAAACAATGAGATCAGCCGATTAATTGTATCGTGTACAATATTTTATACCCCCAAGGAAAATACTGTAGGTCTACGGTGAAATAAATTTCGTTTTCCACAGTTAAACTTCGCCGCTAATTGCTGTTGTGATAACTTTAACACATCTTCTAACGACAGCACTTTGCATGTCTTTCGTTTATTGGACAATTTCGAACAAATTGAAATGAATTTCCTTTGTTGCTAGACAAATTCATTAACACCTGCACCTAATTTCAAAAGGTGGGAGATGTGCCCGAAGTGGGTTTGAACGAGAGTTTATACTAATTTATTATATTAGAAGGGGTAACCTTATTGAACAATAATTTAGACCAGATATAATATTCATGGAAGTGGTCGCTTATTACAGTTGTTGTATGTTGTTTCGGACCAAAAATCGATGCCCGCGGTCGCGTTACACAGGTGGTCGTTTAATACAGGTAACTTATACGAAGACTCTATGGATAAACTATTCCGTGCCAGAAATTTTTGCCCGTTTTGACAGGTGCCCGTCGAATGCAGGTGGTCGCCTAAGCAGTTTTCACTGTAT